AAAGCTGCGCATACCCCCTCTTTATAAGCGTAATATTTTCAAATATATTAAAAATTCTCTCGATATAACAGTCCATTAATTTGATGGTAAAAAGTATAATCAGGGATTTTGCTACGGAATTCTAACCCACATTTCCACTGTGTTAAGTGTCCTAAACACAGATTCCAGTGTATTGCGAATATAAAGAAAATAATTAATGCATGGTCTTTCTAAAACTGTGGAAGAAATAACTTGATAATTAAGTCAACGTAATTCATTACAGAGAAAATTCTTAAATTGTTACCCTAATATACACTAAAATCCCTAATAATTTTAGCACACGTTTGATATAAACACTCGGTCCATTGTCTATTATATTAATATAAAAGACGCTTATAACGTATTACTACGTAGCACTAAGTAGGTTAACACCGTCTACGAATTGCTATAAACACATCGTAATCGATCGTGTGTAACGTCAACAATGGAGATTCCTCCGTAGAGACTTTTCCATTCTGGCTATTGTGAATGTATTGTTTTAGTAGTATGCGTGCGCTTGTTTAGGAAAGCACGTGCCAGTAGTTGCGTGAAAGACCTCTACGATCGATAGTAAACGTCTAACAGCTATTATTATTGACCGATGTGTAATAAATACAAATATTACAATATTCTATCGAATACATTGTGACATTTGTACTTTTATTGTATTAAGAGTAGATAAATTTAATCTCCCGTAAATTGGGAAGATGGTGTGCAAAATTTAAAAAAAGGTGATGAATTTTCGCGAAAAATACTGCTAAAAAGTGCTCCTAGAACACGTAAAACTCGAATCAGTGTTTACAAACAGAAAAGTACTGTACTTGCAAACACAGTCGTTCTTCACGTTAATTAAATCTGAGTCAAAATTAATTTTTATTAACAACAGATTTATAAATAGAAAAAGACACAAAATAGATAATTTAAGCGCAAAAAGGGGAGAACAAACACCCAAACAATAGTAAACTTAATAAAGAACCATCATCACGTGATATTTCGAAAAAGTTCCCTACGAAAAGGGGGTGTACTGTATCTCGATTATACTCTACCCGGGTCGACGTTTAAAGTACAATTTTCCTCTGTCGACTATTGTTAATTATCTGGCAATTAATGATGTAATTAGTACCCAAAAAAAACGTCATAAAGTGAGCCGTTCGATATATAAATAAAACCTTACCGGTCACCGGAAAACAATAGTGTTTCTTAATACATTATACCTTCATTGAAAGAATGTAGGGATGACGTAGAAGAATACACTAGTTTGACAAAAACGGGTGCACTAAAGAATAAAAAATAATAATAATAATTCTGCCGCTTTAATATTTCGTTTTAATTCTTATAATATTCTTTTACTAACGATTATTCCCTCTGGCATTTCGGTTTCTGGGATCATCTGGTATCGAAACACCAACACATTACAATGGCATCATACATTTTAGTTTCTGGTATGATGATTTTCTTCAGATCGATTGCTATAACTTTAAAGTCAGAGAATCGTTTCTTGAACTTGAATCTTCCCTCTTTTCTAGTGTAGCATTCGATACTGGCCATTGTTAAATCATCTAATTGTTTTCTAGATATATACACATGGAAGAATCTGCTGACGAGCTTCCTAAGTTCTAAAGTCGCTGGAAGAAAGATATAGTGTGTAGAACAGTTCGGAAGGTAAGGATTGTGTTTAAGAGAACGGGTGTGTTCCTGATCCATGGACTGTATAGTGATGTAAACTGCATGTATACAAAAAAGAAATATAGATTTTTATGAAGGTCTCGAGTTCTTAAGGAACGTGACTCCAAAATTTGGGTGGGTGAAGTTCGTCTGATTTCATGTACGAATGTTAAATCTATGAAGTTAAATGAATTCTAAGCTGATTTGCATAGATTAGTCTTCGTTCGTTGTGTTTGGACCACGGCCGACCAATGGCAAAGTAGATAAAAACCATAAAACACCAGTTGGTCCCGGATTACCGCCTGGCTAAACCTGCAGGCCACGTGGAGTTTTCGGGGTTATCTTCACCTAACTTCTAAATTGGGGGCTAGTTTCCCGTGGACATTCCTCCCAAGAGACTCCCCCTCGGCAGATGGCCCACGTGTTGCATTGTCCTATCTCACCAGACGAAACCGGTACGTTTAATTTTACAAAATCGATCTCGATTCGTTCGCAGGAATCTTTTACAGGCTGTCTATGCCGGTTAAGTAGGGCCCCGTCCCTCGCTTATCGCGGAGAAAAAGGGCTTATTTAGTGCCAACAAGACAGTGATAAAATCCTGGTTAAAAATAATCTCCAAAAATACTTGTTTTTTTTTGGTTATTTATTTGTATTATTTTGATAAGAAATCTGTCTTCTGTCGTAACTTAAGTGTTTAACTAGAAATGCTCCCTTTGTTCTCGGAGTTTTTACGTGCAGAAAAATGTAACGAACTTAATTTCTGTCTAAAAGGCTAACAGCGGGACGGTGAAACTGAATATCCGAGTTTAATATTACATTATTCTTCTTTAGTTCTGTAAAATTGACTTGTTCCGCGACGAGGGTGGCACTCTGTTTTCGGTTTTCCGTTCCAAACAGCGGTTAAGTCACTGACTTTTTACAACCGGTGATCAGAAAATCGTTTCGTACTGTACCTACCTGACCTTCGAGGTTTGTTCGAGTGGGCACCCAATACCCGAGAACTTAAGTTTAAAATTAGAGTATCCGAGAATCTTGCAACACCCCTAGAAACTCGAGGAGGAGCACGTAAACTATACAGTAACGATTACAACACGGGTGGCACGGCGTTTCTTTTGATCGTCCCGTGGTTATCTGGATCTCCCCTGCGGATATTGTAACTACCAGGCCTACTACGGGATTGTGCGGGTGCGTAGATATAATTTTACAAATTGAATTAAGATTATTGTTGGATAGGGATTTAGTTTTTAAATTTAAAGATAAATTTGGAGGAAAAATAATTTGATTATTTTCTTATAGAATTACTCTGAATGTATTCTTGTACGTAAAACGTCGAGTAATCGCTACGTTAACGAACGTTTTAATGGTTAACAATGCTGTAAGATGAGGAAAAAATCCCGCAATGGGAAATCTTCCTCCCGTTATTTTTACTAATTGTAGAACAAGAACCGAATTAAAATTTTGTTTTTGTCATAATGAATAAAAAAATAAGAGCGTATATTACAAGAAATTCTGGAGGGAGAGAGAGAGAGAGAGAGAGAGAATTCCAGAAAGAAAAATCGTAAATATTGACATTGGTTACTGTGTTACAATTCCAAGATAATATTCAGTGTAACTCCTCCCGCATCTCCTGTTATCTTACTAAAGATTTTCAAATAATTCCGCTAATTGACAACGTTCCTATTAAGAAATATTATCTGTAGTCTTTAGGTGATCTATTCGAATTCGTTTTGTAGCCCTCGCCATCGAGAGCCACGTTCTTGCCTACCATTACTCTAATACTTGTAGGCAAGAAAAGAAGATTTCTACGCCATTAGTTGAATAAAGGCAAACGAACGATTTTTTCCTCTCCTCTTTTCAAAGTCAGTTCCCAGTTCCCAATTAGCCAAAAGTTAAATCATCTACCATTGGTTTTAGAGAAACTATCAAGTATGCAAATGGAAGAATATGCAGGAATATAGGATTAAATTGTTTAAACTTAGAGAGGAAACTGTTAAATTGTAACACGTCTGTATTTTTTCCAATCCGATTGTTCAGATTCTTATACTTCTTTGTTCAAAGAAACGAATTCAAACCCTCGATAAGAAATCAGAAATTTCGAGACTGGATATAATGTTATATGGAGATGACAAGAAACTAATTCGCTGTACCTTACGACCATTCGCTCTTATAAGACAAAGGTACGGTCCAATCTATGCCGTTGTGTAACCTTGTGGGTAAAAAGGGCAATTGCCTGGGGTCCCCACTAGTGGGAGGTCTGAACATATCTTTTATAATAAACTGTTTTCCCCCAAAAATGTCTGGAGTGGGCACGATACGTGGGACCCCCTAATACAAATTTGTCCGAGCCTGGCAAAGCTATAACGCACCACTAATGAATATCTTGAATTATTGAAAAGCAAGATAAAAAATAAATTGGTAATCAATATAATTCTGGAATGAAATTCGTATAGCCAAACCGATATACATTTCCCTTCGGTTGGCGTAACTACGTACCGGTGGGCCCCTGCAATGAAAAGTTACCACAGTCTTGGCGTGGTCAAGATTCAGAAGATCCACCTCTAATATGCAATAAGCTTTCTGAAGATTGGAAAATACTGTTACAAATGTTAAAGAAGTAAAGAATTCAATATTCACTTCCAACTGTCAACATTTATTGGATTATTTTGAATTCCAAGAATTTTTATTGTCAAATTTCTAAAGAAAAAACAATAATCATTATACCCTCTAAATTAATTCTGGACTTATCTTTAAAGTAAACCGGAGGCAAGCAATATCAAAACTTCGACAATTTTATGTTTAAAATCTAAATAAAGGGAGATTTTCAAGCAAATGGGCTTAGTTCTATTGTAGGAGTGAGTAAAATCTTTTCCACTAAGTGAATTACTAATAAACTAAGAATACACAATCATGAAATTTATACTAATTAAAGCAAAAAACCTTCAGTGTTTCCTCCTAAAAAATTTTGTGAAGAATTAGGCGACAAATATCAAAAAAGGTTGCTTGAAATTTGTACATCGAAGAAGAAGGAAGAAAGGAAAGGAAAAATTTTCATTTTAACTCAAGAAAAATTAAATAAGATGACATGAGGGAAAAAAGTGTGATTTTACTTTGTGAAGAAAGAGGAAAGTAATTTGAGGAGAAGAGAAGAGGAAGAAATTATCTGTTTTCTTCCGTTTGATTTCTGAATACAGTGGCATAGAAATTCCCCATTTTCTCAACACAGTTCACTCCAGCAACTGACTACATTCCATACAAACCCACTACTAAATCCAACAGTCTCGTTTAAGTAAGGAGCTGGGGAATAAAAGAATATACAATTTTTTAAAATTATTTTTTTATTTTCTCAAATTCTGTAAAACATTATTCAGATATTTTTTAAGTCCCTGTACAGAAACAATCATTTCGTAAAAGAATAAAATTATTTAAAACCAACTTAGTAAGCTGCCGGTAATGTCTAAGTACCCGATTTTTGAACTACTTTGATGGAAAAAATTGATAAAAGAAACACGTCGAAATCGGTGTCCTCTTATTGGTCTCGATATTTTGCAAATAAAGATCAACATACCAAGGAGAAATGAAATTCTTTTACAAGTGACAGTCAATAGAAACATATATTGAGTAAGGTAGTCAATAGAAATTTGCACTGAATGATAAAGAATGATATAACTAATAATATATCCATAACACCAAGTGAGAAACCAGAAATATTAACCTGCTGTACATCCTTCTCTTCCGTCGTCGTCTTCTTTACATTTTCTGTCGTCGAAGAGACCGAATTTACTGGACGGTTCTCGTGCGCTTCGTCTGCACTCTGGACGGAGTTCGAAGGTCGGGAGGGAGGTGCGGAAACTTCTTCCTCCGTTCTCTCGACCGGTGGTGTGGTGCACGTGGCAGAATGTTCGTTATTAACGTGGGACAACTTGGGTGAAGATCTAGTGTCGGTGCCAGACACTTGTGTAAGTTTCTTGTAAGTTCCCAAGTAGGAAGGTCTGTTGGCCATGTAAGAGGTGGACGAATAGAAATTGGTGAAATTGGAAAATCGGTGTGTTATCAAAGGCGATGACTTCTCCACAATGTTTGAACTCTTCGGTCTCAACTTAAAAAGGAAAAATTAATAATTAAATTACTAACATTTTATAATATATGTTACTATTTACTTAATTAACCTTGTTCTTTAAACTGATTGTGCATTTTTACAGTTTATATTCTTTGTATCCCCTATTCTATTGTAATTGGAGAATCATCAGCATTCATTTAAGAAGTGCAGAAGATATAAATTATGGATACAGAAAACAGAAAAACCTGCTTTCCTAAGTACAAATTTCTTTAGTATGTCTATCCTTTGCATTATCTTCCAAATCATCACAGAACAGACAAATCTTCTGGACTATTGGTACTTCATACCCCTAATATTTGGACTTTTCTCCTACTTACTCTACATTCTTTTTCAAATTTAACCAGTCAAAAAAATTGAACTTGTTCTGATTCACTTTATTAATGGATGCCTATTCCTAAACCTGTTCTCACATTTACTAATTCTTCTCACAATAATATTTCACATGATAATCATACAGCTACCCAATTTTTTCATAATCTTTTCCTAATTCCTAAAGATAGCAAACATAATGCCTCTCTTAAATTCAATTTTTATATTATTAATCCCAAATTTTTGGTACTTGCAGACCATGAATGAAATATAAACTAAAATAAAATAGTGCATGACCAACAAAGATACATAGAGTCACTGTTAATCTATATAATGTTTATAAAAAGACAAACCTGTTCTCTTTCAATGACCAAATGAACGTATCTTTCGGAATCGGTCAGTAGAGACACGGCCTGATCGTGTCTAGCACCTTCCATGTCTATGCCGTTGATGGACACCACTCGATCCCCCACCTTCAATTTACCATCCTTAAAAGCTGCTCCGTTATCTGCTATTCTCGATATGTATATATTCTGTAACAATAAATGATTATTTAGTAAAAATACATCACATAAATATCAAGTTATAATGATATATTACTGTATAAGTAACAACAAATAGTTATATTGTTGTTATATAATAAGTGTTTATCTAAGATTGTAATTGACTGACTGACTGTAGAATTAGAACAAGAGAGAGCAAGAACTTAAAGAGAGCAAGAACAAGAGAGAGCAAGAACTTTGACCTAAAAGGTCTCCATTGTGCAATCCACAAGAAGTTCTCTTCAAAAAAAAACTAAAACAACAACTCTAAAGATATCATCTGTGATCAAAAAAGATGAACTCGGATAAACATCGCCAGAACACAATTGTACAGCCAGTTAGTCACATTACTAACTACAGATCCTACATAATTTAAAGGTAAAAATGTTCTCAATAGTACGTGTCAGAAAACAGAACATTTATCTTGTAATCATAGTACTCTGAGACAGTTTTATAAATGAAAAAATTGAGATAGAGATACTTTTGCTATCTCTAAACTCCCAAGTGTGGGCTTATTTCTCTTGAACAGTTAAATTTCTTCTCAATTTTCTCAGAAAACTAAAAGTTACAAATATTAAACTGGATAAGTGTAAGAAAACAATAAAAATGGAGTACCTCACAGTCTTCTTTATAAGGCAAACTTCCTTGGCCACCGGCAATACTGAATCCTAAACCATTGTGTTCTCGAATCAGGGTGGTGTGTATTGTCTGGAAAAAAAAAAACAATAATTCAGATGAAACACAAATCCATTGCCGCACGAACTGCAAATATTCATTTTATGACCGGCAAAAGTTTCTACTCAAGTCGTTTTGTTCTTGCCATTTTTGATGCATATTATATAATTCAAAACTTATTTGTAGAAATAAAACTTCAATTTAGATGAAATCGACAGGGAATTAGTTTGATTTAGGTGGTTTGCTTAACAACTGTCTTCTGAAACAAACCACATTGTAAAAATATTGGTAATAAAATTCAAAATAGTTTATGGTAATGACAGTTTATCATATGTTACATAGTTTTCCGTGCATTCAATTGACACGACACTAAACTTTGAGCATCGATAATTGTGCTCGACATTGAGGATGGATAAATTACAAAATGCTTCATTTAGAGTTAAAAGTGATAAACTTAAGACTATATTACAGTCAAATTTTGGTTTAGCACCACTATTTATTTGTCTGATTCCAAATAATTAATAAAATAAAATTTATCAGGCCTAATTCTTTCATGTTGCTTCTTTCTCACTTGTTCCTTTAATGCTAACTAATTTTTAAATATTTTTTTAGTGACAATTTACAATATTTGTCTGAAATTAACATTAAATTAAATATGATACTAAACTAGGCATTGCCAATATATACGGCCCGCGGGCTGGATCTGGCCCATCTAATGAATTTATGTGGCCCGCGATTAATCTTTCAATACTAGTTACTCAAGTCTAAACAGCTCGATGAAAAATTCCAACGCCTAAAAAAAGAAAGGTTTCAACAACTCACTGTGTGTTTAGAGTTAACCCTCCATTACAAATCTCTTAAGTACAGTGTAGAATGTTGATAAAGCATGATAATGTGAAAAATGTATCTGTAATCTCTATGTACAATTTAGTCTCTACGGGGTAACACCACAATGAGATCTCGCACCACCTCAAAATCTTCCTAGGGCAACCTCTGGTTCGCGCGTGGAAAAAGTTTTCTTTCCAATTCAACCTGGGGGGCAAAAACTGTTGGCCACCCCTGTACTAAACCAAAGTATCTCAAAACAATAAAATTGTCTATATACCATACTTTCCAGCATATAAGACAACCCCCGACTTTTGAGAAGATTTTCCTGGGATAAAAAGTCATTTTATACGTCGGAAAATACGATACTAATGAGATCTACATGAAAGTTTAAATTTGAGTTTGTTAATAACAATGCTATTCGCAATGTCATACATTTACTAATTTACAGATACCAAAGGGCTCTCTATTAAATGCCTACAGAGAATATTGGTGCATAAGCTGATGCTATTTAGGAGGTTACTATATTCAAATTTAAATGTGTATCTTTCCAGTGCTTTGAGCTTAAACTTACCTTCTGAAACAAATGAATGCAGTAGGGTGTGGCAATGTAACTATGCATGACGGTAAAAATCTGAAGAAACTTCATAAATCAATAATTAAACTCTTAAAAAAACCGATCATTTTTGGCATATGACACCCTCTTTTGAGTCATAAATTTCAGCTGTATAGCACACATTCAAACAGTCACAATAGATGTGACCCATAGCACATAGGTATATATACTAGAGAAGTGGTTCTGAAAGTTTGAAAGGTTATGGACCCTTTTGTAAAAGATATTTTGACAGAACCTTATTTTCAACTAGTTAGCTTTTAGTCATTAATTAATGAACTACGATAATAATAAACATCTGAGGCATCTTATATTATATTTTGACAGTTTTTGAATGCATTAATTTGAAAAGTTTCATAAAAATAACAGAATTAATAAATTTAATAAAAAGAACTAACATTTTTGAGCTGCAATTCTCAAATCACAGACCTATAGATTTCCACTATCATCTGTCTGTCCTTAATCTCGAGAATGGAGTTAGACAGATGAAAACTGAGACCAGATACGGAAAGATTAGGGGCAAAAAGTCCCAGTTAACTATATATACACTTCTGGCTTAGACCAAAAGTCACATAATATTTTAAGATAAAATATTATGTGACTTTTACAATAAGTAATTGCTTGTTATTTTTTAAAAGTCGTTACAACATAACATTTTAATATAACTTTAAATATTTGCTAATTAATAAAATAAAAATGTTTTTAGAAAGTTGGTCTGTAGACCCTCCAACAAGTATCTCCCAGACCCCAGAGGTCCACTGACCACAGCTTCAGAAGCACTGCACTAAATTATACATAAACCTGATTATGGCTATGTGATTCTAAGTTTTATTTCAGTTTTGGAGAGTTCATATTATTGAATAGTCATATCACTGCTTTGCCATCTGAATTACATGTGATCATAATTTAAGTTTTTCACATTACTTTGTTAGAATAGATGACTCTTTTTCTTCAATACAAAATAGAAAATATAACATGTTAAAAGATGAACAATATAATAAAATAATTCTTCACCTCCTTTACGGTCTCGTACTTCTGATCGTCTGATTCCGCTTGCTTGAAATTCTCCTTCACTTCCGTGCATTCTACCTGAGTTGTATTGTTCTCCTTTGATTCATCCAGTGTTATTTTATGTACAGAAGAAATGTCTTGGTCTTTTGTCTGTTCAAACAAAAAATATTTTTAAAATACTAATTTATGCTTAAAATGCTTCCAAATGTCACAAAAATTTTTCAAACTGAAACACTTCTTGATCGATATATAAATTGAATGTCATATGGCCTTTAAAAAGATGGTTAACTGACCTTTGGATTACTTCAGTATACCAAACTAACAGTTGTTATATAGTTTATAATAAAAATAAGTAAGTTAATCCGGAAACTATCTGTTACAGGATGCAATCAAAAAGAAACCAGACTGTTCCCAATATTTTGGCAATAGCATAAAATACAATCATTTTGTCACAAAGGCTCAATGCCTTAGACATGTGAGTGTTAGCCTTAGTAGTGGTGAATTTTTCAAACCAAATAGGTTGCTACACATGATTTTTTAAAATTACTTAAGAATTAAAACCTTTATATACCAAATCTGATTTATGATTGCACCATGTATTTTAAATTTAAACATTTATAAGCAAATTACCTTTGTGGTGGTTTCAATTTTTCTGCTGACCTTTATGACCATGTGGCTTTCCATTGTTTTCAATCTCTCCACTGCTTCGTAGTGACTGGCTTGAACCATCGACTTTCCATCCACCTGGAAAATAGTTAAAATATGTATTAAGTCAAAATAACTAGTTTTAAATTCTTTGAAGATACCACTTTTCTAGTGTACATCCTAATAATTATGAACTTCAACATAACTCTGGCAGTACAACTTTTTCACTGTTATACCAGTGACACGGTAGAACCCAAAAATATACAGGATGGCCCACACTTTGGTTTCTTGCATTTGGAATAGGACATCTAAACAATGTACCATTCAAATGCAAGAAATCAAACTGAATGAGCTATTTTGATTCTCCCATGTTAGTTATGGGAGTTAGCTTCCCATTTGTTATAAAATACATTTCATTGTTAAAAACCTAAAGGAGAAACAGGCTAAACATTTCCATTTAAGCCAATCAAACTCATTTGTTATTAGATTTTTGATTTTAAATGTAACCTACAGTTTTTTTTATCACTGAATGACAGACGTTTTAGTGTTTTTAAATGACACTAGATATACATGTAGTAAAACCTCACTAATTCAGACTCTAGTAACTTGGAATTCAGGATAACGCTACTATTTTCCATTAATGTATGCTTTAAAATAATGAATCTGCCAATTTTGACCCTTACTTTTAGACAAATATGTTAAGATGTAATCAAGGAACAGTTAGAAAAAGAACTGCAAACAAAACATAGTTTAAAGGTTAAGACTATTTACAAAAAATGTCTTAATTTTTTATAGTCTTAACCTTCAAATTGAAGATATCCTGGGTTAAAGTCAAAACTTAGTTTCTTTTTAAGCTCAAATTAGTAAATGTTGGCAATGAGAAGAACAATGCTGATGCTGCTGCTACTGTATTGTAGATATTTATCAAATGATTGTATTTGTTTGCATTTAAAGTGCATGTTAAAATTTGACTTTAAATAAAATGTACTTCTCATATCATACAATACTCATTTAGGTAAAAACCTAACTTATATGGACTAGGCTTTCCCCAATTAGTCCAAGTTAGTGAAGTTCTACAATATAAAACAAAACTTGTATAACAAATTAAGTTTCCAAATACATTAATTACTTACAATATCTGTATTTTATTCATTAATCTTGTATGTTTTCAACCTAGAAATTTGAAAATCTAATATTTACAATAAACTTCTTTATGACTCCTTAAGGTTAAGAATTTAGAAATATGCTACCTTAATATAGAAACTGTAAGATGCTTTCAAAGTGCATCATTGATTTTTTGAAGCAATTCAGGGTGTGTAATTTCCAGTTATGTCACTAGCACAATGAATGTGTTCAGTGTGTTGTGTGGGACAAATTTATACCACACATTTCTAAATGAATAACTTGAGACTAGGTACATATGAGGGTAATCCCAAAAGTAAGGTCTCCTATTTTTTTAGAAATACAAAGAAATGTTCATTTTCAATAATGTTTACATCATTTTAAAGCTTGAACATTTATCTATTTTTCTACATAATCACCATTTTGATTGATGCATTTCTGTAGACACTGTAGCAGTTTTTGTTTGACCATGTCATACTGTCTCACCACCAAGTTGTGTTAAACTGATTGAAGTTCATCACCAATTGATGGAAGTGTATGGCAAGTTGTGCATGGGGATATCTGCAAGTGGTGTAGGAAGTTTGCAGCTGGTCATACTGAAATTCATGATGAAGAAAGAAATGGGAGACCGTCAATTTCCAACGAGACAGTCGCAAAGGTTGAGGAAACCATGTGTGAAGATTGGTGGATTACTCTGGATTTTGGTTCTTGGGGTTTCCCAAAGCACCATTCATATGATTTTAATGGAAAAGTTGCAATATAAGAAGATATGTGCCAGATGGATCCCACAACTTGGCTCACTCCCACTTCTTTCATCATCATGAATTTCAGTATGACCAGCTGCAAACTTTCTACACCACTTGCAGATATCCCCATGCACAACTTGCCATACATTTCCAGCAATTGGTGATGAATTTCAATCAGTTTAACACAATTTGGCAGTGAGACAGTGTGACATGGGCATACAAAAACTGCCACAGCGCCTACAGAAATGCATCGACCGAAATGGCGATTATGTAGAAAAATAGATAAATGTTCAAGCATTAAAATGATGTAAACATTATTGAAAATAAACGTTTCTTTGTATTTCTAAAAAAAATAGGAAACCTTACTTTTGGGATTACCCTTGTAGAATGGTAAGGCCAGTTTTCAAAAACATTAAGAAATATTGTCAAGTACAAAAATCAGGCATTTGTGGTCATATTTTTAAGAAATTCAGTCTTCACTTCATTACGACAGATTTATTATTAAATAATCAGTCTGAAGTCAATCTAATTTCTAGACCAGTGATTCATAAATGTTTTTGCTTCACAGTGCAGTCTGAATTGTGCAAAATTTCTCTAGCATACTCTGTACAAAATTAACAACATTAATAAATTTTAAATTATGAAATAGGATAAGTTATTATAGTACACAGTTGTGTACTATAATAACTTATCTTAGATATCAGTTGATCACAAATGTGTGAAGGTCTGAAACCCTTTTTCTGTTTTAAAACAGTATAAACCTCGGAATTTTCTCTGAAAAGGGAAAAAGGAGAACCTTTCTTATTCGAGCTCTTCTCGAATAAGAAAAAAAAGGGGGATGTTAAAATATCAATAAACGAAATCTCCTCCATTTGTTTAAAGGTAATTCTATAGATGTTAATATCAACAAGACGGAAATAAGAGATGTTTCTTATCACCTCTTTGATTGTACCTAACACGTGGTTACGGCAATAAATCGCCTCCTTCGTAGTCAAATGCGACATTTGATATAAACAATATCTAGATAGTTGACCAGGTTAAAGAAATTATTGTCAGATGAATGTTAATTTATGGATGAGAGCCATCAAACCTATAGAAATTTATATTATAAAATCATATCTTCTAGACACTGACATCAATAAATTAAACAAACTTCTCTGTGCCAATGGTCTGTACTAGCTAGATCCAGACATCTACACACGAACAGGTGTGTGTATAAATCATGAATGATGTCATAGTTCTCACCCCCTCAAAAATAGTATAAAGAGGGCTTGGATGCAATTCACAGGGCAGACACCTCCAGGGCGGACATTGACTGCCACATCTACTGACCCCTACCGCCACCCTATCCGTCGCTACCTCGCCATAACTGCCGTGACGATCCAGGAACGTTTTTACCAATGACCCATATTACGATCGGGAACTTAGAGGTATTTTTTTTGGATATCTATTTGTATACTCTCTCTCTCTGCGAAATCTCTCTCTCGTCTCTTAACTTAGAGAATAGAGATTAGATGTTTCATATGAAAGACAAATCATTGTCGCAACATAGAATACAATTTTTGTAGATCTTCACCTTAGCCTTTGATATGTACAATTTTACAATTGTTTATTAAATGTGTTATTCTTGTTCAACCTGTGTATTTATTTGGGAACCTGTCAACTTACCCATTGACCTCCCCACTCATTTTATTTTGCCCTCCTATAAAGCCATCCTCTGACAGAGCCGCTGGTAAGTGGGGACAACTAACCCCCTCGGTTCTCACAAATGTAATAAATCTTTATACAAATTAGTTTCTTCTCATTTTTAAAATATATTTTCATAATATGATGGTACATTTAGCCATCTCTTGCAGTACATTAGTGTATCTCAGCATACCATTTTAGAACCGCTATTCTATACATGTAGTGATTCTGAAGTGTTTTACGACAACTTTTATGTAGTTCTAGACACAGATTAAATGATGTAGTATTTGAATATAATTAAAACATTTTCTTACCTCGACAATTTTATCTCCAACTTTAATGCCTGCCAGATCAGCCACTCCTCCAACAGTAACACGAGACACAAATATACTCTGTGTAAATAATTATTATGTTAACATAAGTATATATAATTTGGCTAATAAGTACAAGAATCATCCACATGCACCTTTCTACATTCACATATTTTATAACATCACCATCATCAAACAAAACACCATTTGTCAAAGACACTAATCCTTGTCTCCAGTACAAAAATGGGGAAACATGCTCTGACTGCACTAACCACTCTAAATTATGTTGGTGTGGATTAGATTCAAATCTCCCAAAATGATAGGTTAGCACCTTAATGTGTGGTCATCTTGACTCACTCAAACAAAAAGTTGTCTAACTTTCACGTGTAGCAACTGGACAAATCTTTAATGTCGATTTATAGAAGTGTAATGTTATTTAAAGTCATTACACAGAAACAAGAATGTGAAATGGCAATAAAAACATAAATAAATGTCTAAAATAATGACTAAAACAAATCAAAGCACTAGTTTTGGTGTCAAATGTCAGTCAAATATTATTCATTTTTCACGTTTATGCTATTTTTTAAAATTAATTTGGTTTAAAGATGTTTAGCGATTCCATCATCTCTTACAAGTATCGATAATTAAAAAAATGTGGTGTTTTGGAATGCATTTACTCCATTCTTCTTTGGGTTGGAAGTAAAACAATTTATTGAATTCTCAGATACCATCAGAACATGTTAAGAGAATTGATGCATTGCTCAATAAATCTGTTTAAAGCAATTTGTCAAAACACTGTTTAACTTTTACAGCATTAGCTACAAAAGGGCAGTCACCCAGCTACCCTCATTGTGGGCTTGGCCTAATACATGATGATACAGTAAAAAGACCTTCGTATCCACAGAGCAGAAAAAGTTGAAAGAAAGAGGAAGAGAAAGCATTGGCTACAATTAACCTTGTTTTTTGACTAAATAATTTAATTTTATATAAAAGCAATACTTATAAACAACAAAGTGAGTGTAGAACTGTTTGTTTCAAATTCTTTGCTTAACATAACATCAGCTACTTTACCAGAAAATACACTTTTTGTTTCTAGTTAGTTCCAGGATGCAGCTTTAAACCTGACTTCATGAGTACATTTTCCATTGTTTGATTTTAATGGGTAATATCATTTATAGGTTGCTATGAAATCAATAGTAGAGCTTTATAAACTTCCATAATTAAGTATTGTATATTTTATAGCCAAAACACTTCTCTACTTAATTCTATAAACATGAGTGTCCAAAGTGAGATCAATACCTTTAAAATTTAGATATAACTTGGTAATAATTCAAAGACAATTAATATTTTCTTACAGATCCACAAATTATTAGATTTGTAGATTAAATTTATACTTGTGGAAGTTGATTAAAAATAAATAAAAAAGTTCTGCATTAAAACTAAATTTCCAGTTATTACCTGATCATTATCCTTGTAAGGGGAAGTACCTTTTCCTCCAGCAATGCTCAGACCAAGACCTTTAGTGTGTTTCTCAATTTCAAATGTTAATGTTTCCCTGTCAAAATCAGTGATGTTCAAATTCTCACCATCTAAAAATAACAAAATTATCAAAAAAATAGAATTAAAATTAATAATTTATTATATTATGAAACTTAGCACTATAATAAAGATAATGTACATTCTATACGGGACTATGGAATGGAACTAATGAGACCAAACTGCAAGATGTCTGAGTTACCTTAACTTCAGACCTCAAAAAAGTATTTACTTGCAGTATTTTGCAAGTAAAACAAACTCTCAATGTTTTTATACAAATGTTTTGCTTCACCTAATGGTGTGTCTGTCTATCAAGACTTCTGTTAAATTCTGGAGATGGCTCGTAGATAAATGATGGGCGTTTGTGTAAAATCAAATCAGTCCAATTTTTTTTTTTTTTTTTTTTTTTAGTGAGAAGTCAATTACAATTAACATTTACCTGGACATATTGGTAAATTGTGCTATCTTAACTGGAAGACATTTGATTGCATCCTATTTTGGCAAGACAGGATATTTCACATTACAATTAGTGTAAAGTATGTCAGTACAAATTAATTAATTTATTATATTTAACAAGAGATGGCAGCCTTAAATGGCCTGCTTCTGCAAATTGCTTGGTAATTATTAGTCTCGTAGTCTAATAAAGAATCCAGCTGTTCATCTGGTATTTGTAATAACTATTAGATTAGCTGTATTTATTTATTAAGTGTTAAACTTTGTGAAGAAAATTTTGAGTATGTGTTTTACATGCAAAAACTCTCTAATGAAAAAGCTACTGCTTATGTTTATGTAAGACATAGCTCTTTCATCATGCATCTACAACTAAAAATATATTTATATCTTAATATGTATCCTACATATTTAAACGAATTTGTTTTTAGTTTTAAAAAAATTAATTTTTCAACATAAGTATAATAGAACTTGCAGAGTTTACTATAAAAATTGTGCAATGACTCCTTTATTGTATTTCATAAATACTCTTTATACTATTATTGTTATTATTCATTCTTTGAGCTTTGCCTATTGAAGAATAAATGTTCAAAGCATAAGAGCAGAGATACATATTTTGCATTAGAAAATGTTTGAAAATTACCATTTAAATTGTCAGAGATCTTGGCATCAATTTCCTTCTTTTCTGGGGAGATAAGTGGTGAAGTTTCCTATAAAAATAATAATTGGTGAAAAATAAACATAAATAATAGAAAAACAAAAAAACTATAAGTTTTTTTTTTCCTTCCTCATATATCGGAAAAATAAGTCTCACGGTGAAGTTGGCCTTTATTTAGAGCTACTCGTCTGCCTAAATATGTAAAATGTTATAAACTTTCCTCTGGTGTAGACTTATATATATAGGCCTATATTTTTGACGTGAACATGTCTTTAAATTTGCTTCCGTAGTGGGAGGCAATTCAGAAAACTGATGACAACAAAATCGAGGGATACAGTTTGGCATTACAGCTACATATCTATCATCTACGTCCAAAATTTAATTACACCACTTGATAGATAAAGGATCAAAGAATTCATTACGTTGAGTGGAGACTGTGACGCATCGCGCGCGGCGGAGGGGGAAGCGCCGCCATTTTGAGGTCGTTTCATCACGTCATATACTTTACACGTCCATTTTGACTCGGAGAAGCTACGACGCTCGTTTGATTTTCAATTTACAGCTCTCGTCAATATTTATCGATTGCGTACACAAAACATTAGTGTGGAATAGTTATGGTGAATATAAATTATATGATGTTAAAGTTAAAAATTAAGGAAACTTAATACAATGTCGGCCTATACTTGTCGAAAAGCCAAATCAAAATATAGAAATCGTATACGATTGGAAAGTGCTTCTCAAGAGCAATCCAGTGATACTCATAAAACGCCAAATGACAGAGTGAAGCTGTGCCGGAAACGCAAAAATATTACCCGTTAACGTACTGTACAAGTATTCACGTAAAACACACGGCCGTGTCTCCGACACAGCAACACCCCATTTTTTCTTTTAATTTACAATTACAGTATAGTCCTGAAAATATTATCAAATTTAGAATAGTGGATATAATTTAAAATTATGAAATATAGCTTAATTCNATCTAATATAGTTTATAGAATAATACAACTGTTTATGTTTTTGAAGAGAAGGATTTTTGTAGGGTAGAGGAACATTAATTGAATAAATTTCACTGAATATAAACAAGGAAATTACATTCCTGTGTACGTAAGAGTTATTATAAGTTTCATCTTTAGTGGTGTTTGATGAACTTGACAGAGGCCACTGTTCACTGGCATAATGAATCATGGAAATATCCTACTTTCTGTATGCTTTATGCAAATTAACCAGTGATAATTTCTTTCCATGATAGAAAGGAAACAACTTTCTCCCAAATCTATTTTGACTAAACGCAGAGTTTTGTGGAGAAAACAGAAATGATTTTTAGTAAAAATATTTTTCAGATAATTTTTCCTTCTTGAATTCTCACTCAACGTGCGAGATCCTGTTTATAGTAATTCAAAAATGTCAGTGTTTAAGCTCTGTCCTGTTTTAAACAACCAACTAGTTGTTTGTTCAAATCTGGTTTAAATTCATGCTAATTTATTTATAATACACTATTCAATTTATGTTCTTTCCAGAAGAGTGGAATTTTGTTCCAGTCCCAAATTGCTTTTCAAATTGCCGTTTAACTATAATTAATTACTTCTTAATCCATTCTGATTAAAGACAAATTAAGACGTTTAATCAGTCCTAAATGTTTTATGTAATGTAAAAATTACACAGAAGTTTTTGTTAAAATATTTTGACAGATTATTTTTATACCAAGATGTTACAATAAACATATACAATGTATTTATAAAGTCTCTATCTACATTAGGAAAATAAGTTGTTGTTATTTTTTTATTGCCGAATCTATTCATTTATAGCAAGAATGATGACAAGCAAGAATGCACGATTGTGGCATTATTGCATATTCAAAGAAAGAAACATAATAAATCAGAGAACTTTGAAAGAAAATTTCATAAGAGATCCTACAGTGAAACGGGTAGCAAAAGCTTCAACTGACTCCTCAGTTTATGATACATTTGACTACAATTCCTTTATTTATATATCAATATAGAAACTAAATAATAAATATACTAATTATATGGTTTCTATATTGATTGAAAGCATCACTGTCAACAGGAATCATCACTCTACTTTTTTAGAACCATAATCTGATAAAGTTTGAGCCTAAGAGATACATCTATGTATTTTTTATTTTGTTTATTATAAAAATTACAAAACTTAAAAATAAGAAAAACAAAGTTATTTTCTTATTAAAACAATGTGAAATATAAATTAATGGGATGTAATAAAGAAAACGAGGAAAATTTGTCTCTACCAGTTCTTTCTTTTCAAGATTAAAGTATTGTTTAAATATAACCAGAAAAAATAGATTGATCAACCTATTATCTGTAAAATAAGAGATTTTAACATACATTATTTAAAATTACAATTAAATTTATTAGGAGTTAGAGTTGGTCCAGTTTTACCAACTCCAACTCGGACTCTGGTAACTTATGAATTGCTTTTGACTCCGACTCCATAGTCCTGCTACAGACGAGACAATTTGTGTATTGTTGAATAAATTCAAAAGAATAAAGTTCTGAATGCCAGGGCCATACATTTGTTAAATAATTCTTTGTTCCAAGTCTGCTTTCCTCTTTGCAAATATTTTAAAAATTTTGTGAATTTAACTAAAAGTTCTCTAACAGCTTATGTTTCAGGCATATTACAAAAGATAAATTCCTGACATATCCTTGATAAAATGGCCAGACCCTCCAAATAAATGTTGACCCCATCTAAGACTTATTTCCTGAGATGTGATGAAAGGACAAAATGTAAAGGACATTTTAATATATTGTGTTTTTTTTTTTTTTTGAAAATTTTTGACAATTTTCTAGTGCTGACATTATTATTCTTAAACATTATTCACATAACAATTACGTAAACATTACTTTTTAAGTATTTAATAAACGTAACTTTTCTGTTGTTCTTTAATTTAATTTAACAGTTATCCATTGTAAAGTTATTTATCACAGAGAATAAAACACATTTTTATGATTAACTTTCTTGAAAAATTTAAGTTTAATTAAGAAAGAATGAAACGTTTTAGATGCCATATTTTGAACCTGATTGATTGATTAGTTAATAAAGATTAATTAAGCATAATTAAGACCATAACCCCAATTCTATTTGTTATAAGTGAGCCGACCAATAAAATTTCTAGATTGAATGCATGGGAATGATGCTCCAAATTGCAATAAATATTATGTGACAATGTTTTCAGTCTTAAGGGATCAATGCAGATTTGTACAATAGTAGTTAACACCTTACCAAGCAACTGTCCACAAATTATATTTTAATCAGTTTATTTCACTTACCTTGTTGTAATCTTTTCTTGTATCGAGTTGGTCTAGCCTACTGTTTTTCGAATGATGTGCTACTTCTTGAGGAGAGAGTTTATTATTACTTTCGGCCCATTTATTAATATTAAAATCAAATTTTCCATACTGTGCATCATCCTAGGAAAAAATAAATTATTATTTAATTCTGAACATTTTAAAAGATTAACTTTTTATATACACCTAATCCTGTTTTTACATGAATCTTTTTTAAACCATTTTGATTTAACAATTAAAAAATAATAATTTTCTTTTTACATGAGTTGTTTTAATGAAATATACAAAAGGTTTTATTTGAATTAACATAATTATTCATGAAACATTTTTTATAAAAAAATCAAATAATTTGTGTGTAAAAAAATGCAAATTAAAGGTGATCTTGATCTAGCTAACAAATCAAGTAATCATTTTGTCAAGTATGATCCTAACAAGGAATGAGCTTTAAAGTTTCAATGTGATCTGGAAGCGTTAATGCTGTCTTATAGAGAATTATATAAAGGTCTAGCCACAATACAAACCCAGCCATTAGTAACTGAATTCGTTCTTAAACCACTGTAACAACAGCCCCACAGGAGATTACTGCTAATGCTGTTTGGGAGTTCACAAAAAGAACTTCACCTGTGGACAAAGAACACAATAACCAAAGCATTTTTAGTGATAGCAGTGATATTGCAATCGTGCACAAACATATGTGTTTATTGTCAAAGTGACAGTGAATAAAATCTTATGTATAATTCACATTACATATTCTGCCCAATGTTCATTAATTCTTTACACTTTTGTTTTTTATTTTTCAAATGAAATTTATGTACTATAATTCATTTTTATTTATGTGCAATGTATATAAAATAAAATTTCATAACACGCAAAAATAATAAGATTCTAATAAGATTTTTTCATATTGTTTATTTTATTATTTTTGCTGATTTCGTAAATCCGTAACCAATCTTCTAATTTTCCATATATACAATGTATTTTTTTTACATGATTTTTTTTTACACACAATTTCTGGAAACCAACCTATCGTGTAAAAACAGAATTAGGTATATATATGTAAAAGCATCTCCATACCTTTGAAAATGAGTCAGATTTTTCTTGAGAAATTTGATTTTCACCAGCAACGGCTCTGCAATAAAAAACTGGATGCTCTTCTCTTTTAATATCTTCAACAGGTAAGTGTTCTTCCATATTAAAAGAACATAAAATTTCAGTGTCGTCATTACTTTGTACACTTTTATCTAAATTAAGTTAAATATAAAAAGTTTTAGTATATAACATATAGTAGTGTTAATCATTCTAATAAATACAAACAAAACAAATTTTTTTCAAATTAATTAATAGTTCTAATAAATTTTTTACAGGTTGTCAGGATAAAATTTTTATGGAGTTTTACAAGTTGAACTATTGTAGAAATTATGAAAAGGTTTAAGAAATGACTGAATTAATTTAATAAACAATTTTTTTTATTTCTAAAATTGTAATATTTAATCTTACATTCATTATATATTACATAATGAAAATGCATAAAAAAATGTTATCTAATGATAAAGAAGATTGGATTTATACCAGCATACAATAAGAAAAATTGTTTATCGCAAGTAAGTATGGATAACTAATGGGGAATTAAATTCCAAATGAAATAACCCGTTAAAAACTATTGAGAACGTGACTGGATTTCAATTCAGATCAGCAGATTTACAATTACAATATGCCATTTACTTCACAATTATTTCTATAATTGTGAAGTAAATGTGTCTGTTATATGAATTTATATAATTAAATTTATTAATAAATATCAAATTAATCCATTCACTCTTTAAAGACACATATATTCAGTGTCAAACAATGATTTAAATGGAAACTTTCTGATATTTGAGTCATTTTCAGGAATTCATCACATTTGGATAACAGGATATGACTGTAACTGATGTTTGACAATCATTTGAATAGGAATTCAGTACTTAAAAAATTTGTTTATATACAAATATTGTCAAAAATAATCAGAAAAATAAAAGCAAAAATATTATATAAAGTAAACAGACTACATTTTGGTAATTATAAATTAATCTAATTATTCTGCATTAATTTATTATAAAATATTTTAAAAATTATTTTTCATCCTAAAAAATCATTAGCATATTTCACACGTATTTTAACTTCTGTAATTTTGCAAAAATTTATATGAACAATACCAACTGGAATTTCTTAGATTATTAATATTATAATAATGATACAAGTTAATTTCTGTATTTTCTCCACATACCTAAATTGTCTGAAAATTCCTCATTTTCGGAAGCGATGCTCGATCTCTGAGGCCGAAATACACCAGATTTATTACCTTTCTGTAATAAAAAGAAACACATTAGAGTTCTATTCGGTAATAAATTTCTACATTTATCCAAAATATTTTTTTTATTTTTCTAGTGATTTTCCAATAATTATAGTAATTCACATATAAAACATTTGCCTACAATTAAATTAGTATTGATTTAAAGCTTTATGAGTATGTATATTCTCCTAACCAGGCTACATATCAATTTAACAATTACGAGTAAATGTAAAAAAAAAAAATGCTAGAGTGTGGTACCAAACCACTAGAACTATCATCTACTAAAAAGACAATGCCTAATGTTTCCATTATCTATAATGCTGCTAAACAAAAGCAGCTTTGTAGATAGTAGAGCTTATGTGAACTATATACCTACAAAGATATTCAATAAGAATAAAATATATTTTATTGTAACTGTTTCAGATAAAGCTACATACCAACAGAATGCCAAAAATCTATCGGCATTCTGTTGGTATGTATATATGTTTGTATATATGATGTTTGTATATATTATGCCTTCCCAGGCTTACGATGGCCGGTTGAGAGCCTTATGAGATGTAGGACGTGGGCACTGAATATGTCCCCAGCCGGCGTTGTAATAACCATCGATGGTTATATAGTTAGCTTATATACGCTGGAAGAGGAGATTGGACTGGAGGTCCTGATAGCGTAACTGGCAACGCATCTGCACGGTAAGCAGGAGTTGCGGGTTCGAGTCCCGCTCCGGGCCGATTTTTTCTTCCAGCGGTTCTAAATTATTTAAATTAATTAATTAATTTATAATTATTAATATTAATAAGAGATGGCGCCTAACGCTTACCTCTAGTGCCAAATTGGTTACGTAATTTATTTAGTAATTAGCATTAAACTAGCCCGATAGATTTTCGGCATTCTGTTGGTATGTAGCTATATTTCTGTTTCAGATAAATTTCAAATAATAGATTTTATTATTTGAAATAACTCATACTGAATAAAATAATCTATATTTTATTTTTATTGATAGGAAATAAAAATTTGTGACTTTTACTATTACTTTTTCAACTAATATGAACTTTTTACTAAAGTCATTGATTATTACAGTGATTCGTAAGAAATATAAAATCGAATTTATGTTGAAAGGTTTACACAAAGTCTCATTTACATTGATAAAATTTAAAAAAAACTCATCCAATCTTTCCACACGGGTTAATAAATGAAGAGTACGGCTATATGAAATCTAACAATCTGGAGCACATGCTAAATTGCTGATGCACACTCATTATAACACAATGATTTGTCAAAACTACAATTCTCTTGCTTCAGTGTTGAGTTTATATTCATATAGTACACACATGCAAATCATGATATCTGTTACTTCCATTTTAACCTTCAGTTTCACAAAGGGTCCTCTACTCTAATTAACACTTCCAGTAAACTGACTAGAAAATACCTACTGAATAAATTCTAACACTTGTTCAAGCTTGCCAGACAAGCCCATTTTGGCAAAAAGCAACAGAACTTTTTTTGCTCACATGATGCTTAATTAATAAATTAAACACAAATTTTTGAAGTTTTAATGTTTATACAAGATATCAGTGCCATTCACTAGTTTTAAGTTGAATTTTAACATTTATTTATCTAAAAATTAGTCATAATTTAGCTGAAAATAACTTTAAAAAATTACAATTTTTATAACGTCATACATTTTGATTTGTTTAAAATAAATATCTTCTATGGATATTAAAAATTACATAATTGTTGCAAAGTTTGTAATTAAATTATCTGATATTAAATCTTTTTAATATCAGATAATTCAGCAAGTTTTAATGAAATTTTTATGCAAAAGATAAAGAATTTATAATTACCTCATCATCGGGAATAAGAACATGGCCATCAATATTTTTCCCTTTCTGAACAAATAATTTGTTGTGTCTGGATTTTAGTTCTTTTGGATGTGGTGTGTCGTGACGAATAAATTGAGTCTGTAAAAGAGATAATATAAATAAATTAAGTTTTTAATAGAAAATAATAAAATAAAGCATGCATAACATCAGTAACTTTGTCTGTTGGTTAAGAAAGCCAAAAATTTAATTCTGAATTTATCTTAATCAAAAAACTGAGTATAGTTTATATTCATTTATATCAATGTTTCTTGATTATCAGTCCACAGGGAATTTTTATGGTTTATAAAAATTACAAGAAGAAAATTATATGAGGAAATTAAGAATGTTCTGATGAAAAATAATCATTTTAAGACTTGAAATTTTACTTGTGACTTCTGTGAATAGGGAAACAAACAGCAATTATACACAAGACTTGATTAAATTTCTCCATGCATTGTGTTGAGTAAGAATGATGACATTGGAGAATGATTTGACTTTCGTCATTGGGCTTCAATTTTCAAAAATTGCAGATCCATAAACTCTCAATGGCATTCATCTGTCTGTCCTTCGTTAATCTTGAGAATAAAGTTAGATAGATGAAAGTCGAGACCAGATATTGAAAGCTTAGGGGCAGGGGTCCTGATTAACTACAGTAGAGCATCGATTATCCGAAAGTCAATCATCTGAAACGTCAATCATCCGAAAGAATGCCAGTCGGCAAATTTAAATTTTCGTCAGTGCTGTGGCGCTGCAATCTTTGGCTGTCTTGGGCTATTCAAATACTTTACGTTTTTGATACTATATTAACTTCTAAAGTATAATTTTTAATATATAAAGTATTTTTCAATATATTTATTTTGTTCGTACAAAATAAAAAAATAATTTTTAACGATACAATAGTCTTCGTTAGGCTTAACATTGACGAAAATTCAACGCAAAGCGACACACAACGGAGAAAAATGTCAAGATGGGATAAATTAATATAATATTTTTTCGTACATAATCGGTTATCTGAAACATCGATCTTCCAAACAACCCCAGTTCCCAATTGATTCAGATAATCGACACTCTACTGTATATACAAACTTCCAGTTTGGACCAGAAGTTATGTTATTTCAATTCAAAAATTTTCCTCTGAACAGAGTTAGATAGATGACCCTATATTGTTAATAGAACAAGTATGATGTAAGGGGACAAAGCTCTACTAAAATTGAGAACATTGTGACAAAAATGTCAGCCTGGCACTGTGATAATGTCGCAATAAATAATTCCTTGTTTAATATTTGGCAATGTAATGCCAGATGTGAGTTTTGGAATTCCTGTATTTTTGTGTCTGTCAGCTGATCTAAAAAGAAAAAAATAATTCAAAATAATCATTAAGAGGTTGCCCAAAGTGATGGCTGAACCAGAAAAGCTGTAGTTTTTTTTAAAATTAAATCTACAAGTTTTGGCTGCTAGGCTTCTTAAAGAATTTTGAGATTATTTTTATGGTGCATTAGGTATACATTAGGCATATCTGAAGATTTATTTAAGATATGCAGTGGAAGATTTTTATTGTAAATGTCAAGCAAATAAATCAGTCCATTACTCATTTTATTTATTATTATTAGTAAATAATAGAAAAAACAATTTTGAATTTGATAATTAGTTAATTTTATATCATTTACTTTGATCATTAAAAAATTGTATGAAAAAGCACAATTTTGTAAATGGATCCCATTAGAAAATTTATAAAATCCTCCAATCTACAATGCATTTTTTGGTCAAGAATCACTAATTTAGCTACTAGGATAATAAGAATGAAACTAGTATGAGAATTAATTCATTAAAAATATTAAAGTAATTAGTAATTTTTGGGAGCTTTAGATTTTCCCCATATAAGATCAAAGAAATTTATTTTGTTAAGTACAAAATAAAAAAATAATAATAATAAATGATTACTAAGAATTCTAAAGCATTTAAACTATTACTATGTATTTATTCAAAATTTTCTCAATGATACATAATACATATGTGTATTACAAGACTTCATAGAATTTAATTGATATTTAATTATTATATCTTAAATCAAAACCAGAAAACCTCTGATCTTTGGGTTGTGTGCAGCCCTTTGTCTTTAAGTGTAGCCTAATACAGAAATCAATTTTTCATTTTGAGATAAATTAACTAAAAAAACAAATAGCTTACAAAGTTGTAGTATGGATATTTTTAATTGTTTTTCTTTATTATTCAGTTTATGGCATCCTGTAAATGTATATGTGGCCTTATGAGATCTCTCTAAAATGTGATGTGGCCTTCTATCATGAAATTTGTTTGTCAATGAAGTTTATTCTATAAAATTTGACAGTTTTCTCCACTTTATCACTATTGAATGTTATGTAGTCACAAGCAAATTTATAAATATTGCAAATGAAGTTTTAGGCTCAGCTTAGAGCCTTACACTGTTATGCAAAGAAATATAAAATAAATTAATATATCATGAAAAGTAGCCTAACTTAAGCAGCCTTCTGCACGCAAAACTTTTATAACAAGTTATTTTTAATGGACTGGGATAAATTTTATTTAATCACAAATAAGAGAAATATTAACAAAGAACCAAATAATTTTTGTTTTTTTAATATTTTTGTATGATTAACATAACATTAAATGTGTTACCTCTTTTTCTTCATTATCACTTTCTTCTGCAAATTTCACTGCCGTTACTTTCTCTTTATCACTTTTTAAACTCCAGCTTAATCTATTTAGTTTTTCTGCACTGTTCCATAGGTGATTTTCTGAAATACATTTGTTAATAATTTTAAAATAACTATTTGAAAAGAGATATATTATAATAATTTAAATTAAATTTACTTCTGTTAAAAAACAAATAAAACATGTTTGATGGCATACACAGATTTTAATTCTTACTAATAAAAATAGAATACATGACACTAAAATAGTGACATATTCAAGACAATTGAACTTTTTCAAAAGGAATTTATTCAGGAAATTGTGTAGACTTCTATTACATTTCTAAATTTTTCAGTAGATGACCAATTTATTTACGAATGTGACACTTCAGCACATTAGGATATCCGATTGGTCACAATTTCACACAATATGGTTGGCAAGGCATGTATAGGTGAGGAAATGAGAAAATAACATTCAACTAATAATCCAACTACTCTCAGTAAATTATTAGAGTCTGTACTGGATTTGAACCCTTTTTTTCATACTGCTACTTCATTGCAAAGCCATTTAATCAATCCTTTTATTAAATTCTGAACATAACATTTCTATAAAGCAAGAATCTCAACAAAACTAGTTCATTTTTACAACGTGATTACCATTATATTTTTAATCTTGTTTTATATATATATATATATATATTT